TTGATTGCACGCGACTTAGCGACAATCCGCTCGCGTTGTCGTCGAGCGACGTGAGAATCTTTCTTATTTATACATTGAAAATAATTTGCTAATTGTAATCATCATAGTGAAAGGATTATAGTATCAGGAAAACCATTTTTCTAGTGAGTATTACTTGCGTGGAAAAAAATCAATATTCATATTCTTAAAGTCATATTCTTACAAGTAACATCCTTCTTATGTGAAAATCAAACTTGCTTATATGACAAAATTCTGTATAGTTCCATTAAAAATATATTGTTATTCAAGAATCATTTTCTTAAATTTCGAGAAAAAATATTGGATAGAAAGGACGATATCTTTAAAAATTGCATCAGTTTGAAAATATCGTTCTGTCTAACATTTCTTCCTTTCAGTTCATAAAAATGATTGTTGAATAACAAGAACATGATATTTTTAGTGGAACTGTATAGAATTTTTTATACATGTAAATTGTATCCTTATTTAAGATTATTTATTTTCGCTTATATGTGACTCTTAAATTGTTGATACCAATCTTTTTTCTCTATATAGTGGGAATAACTTTACATATATGTCGCTATTATTATTTTTGCGATTAAAATCATGAAAAGAGTGTGGTTGGCGTCGAAAAAAACTACAATCTCTCTCAGTATATATACACTGAGAAAAAAAGCGTTTGGATTGAAAAAATCGGCGGTCACCCTCATCCGAAAAAATATTGTGTGTCTGCTGAACAAATTATACGTTGGCGTAACAACACGTTGCGTTGATACAGCGACTGACCAAATCGCTGAATCAATTGATAACTGTATAATTTGTGCAGTGGACTAAAAAACGTTATGTTTGAAAAAAAAAAGTTTTGTTCGTTTAAGCAAAATTTCGTTGGTTCTATTAATTTTTTTCTCAGTGTGTATATATGTATATATAATTTAGATATATTCAGGACTCGAAAAAAATCATGCCTTTCGATTAGTCTAAATTTTCGACTGGCAGTTGGCGGCGCATCGAGAGAGCGCGAAATCTGGCGTCGAGGGTAACGCATCGGAGGTGTGCAAGTCCACACGCGAATCACACGGGATGCTTGTATTTGCTCTCATCTTCGCTCAGCTGACTGAAGTTCGATCGCACGCGAGCTGAAGCAACGTCTATAAATATATAGCGATCGAAATGTAACATGTATTCAAGGATATTGGTGTGTGCGACGCTCCCGATAATCGTTTTCGGGAGATACTCTCGACGCTGTCAAATTATTTGCCTTATCCATTTTAAAGCAGCAGTTGATCGAGATTCTCCTCGCGGAAGTATCATGCTGGACGTTCGTTTATCATCGGCAACTCTTATCGCTTGCCACGACACGAGAATTGCGCAGATTTTGACGAGACGTTCGCAAGACACGTCGTATTGTATTCTTAAGGAATAATTCGGCTGTGAGAGACATCTGATTGAAATCTCTCGTCAAATCATATTGTTCGTTTTAACCGTGTTGCACTGGAAACGTAAAGACGCATTTCAGACGTTCCACTCTAAGCGCAAAAAAGTATAATCTAGTTCGGCCGAACAGCAGACTGATTACATGACGAATGACGATGCCTAATTCCGAGACCAAAGCATCGACCGTGTCGTCGTTCGGGGGAAGGTTCAATGACGTCGTCGTCACACATTCGTACATACACCGTGGCGAAAGCGTAACGCGCGGCCTGTGACGAAAGTTGCGGTCGTATGTTCGCGCGCTCGTAAGTAATGGGACCAACTAATTGCCAAGGTAGCGGAAGCTCCTAGTCGGAGACTACCCTCATCAAGCACGCCCGCGACAAGGTTCAATGACGTTGCTCCACGGGGGGGGGGGAGCTCGGAGGCACCCGGTATGCATGCATGTCGTCGCGAATGCGGTGCTCGGAAGCCCGGCGCGTTTCATCGATATCGTTCGCATAGGCTTACCTAGGACGGGCATCAAATCGATCTTACGCCGTCAGCGGTATCGCGAGCCGAGTTAACCCCTGCGCGAACCACGAAGAGACGAGCACACGCGAGCGGAATATCAATCGCGGGCATCAAATGCTTTTAAGGAACGTCGTTGGCTTCGATCGCACCGTACGTACGCGATCATCCTCGATCTGTTGCATCCAGCGTCGCGTCGCGGCAAAATCGATGGCACGGAAGGAAGACGTGTGTCCTCCGGTTCTTATATTCGGCGTGTGTAACGCGAGTATCCCCGAGCGCGTTCTCGCAGGGAGACGGTGCGAACGATTCGTCCGTCGCGCGCGTGAAACGTAGAGCATCTCGAAGAATATTAAAATATTATTTTTTATTATTATACCAGACCAACACGCTATTTGGTTAATTGTACTATTATAAAAATGTTTGATTTGAATAAGCACTAGCGTCAAATTCGTTAACGAGAAAATGACAACTCAGTCAAAACGCTGTGTGATGACGTCGAAATGACTCGCATCAAATTCGAGATTTCGAGACAGCCACTCAGCATCGTTGAAAAGTCGGCAACAATTAAACTTGAAAAACTTAAAATAACTTTAATGTTATTTAAACATAACGTTACAAATACACTTTATTTATTTACGAGTAACAGTTTGTCCAGATATCAGATTAGGAGATTAATAAATGGGACTATATTTGCAACATTACTACGCTAAATAGGGCGCGCGTGCTTGTAGTACGTTCAAATAATTCGATCATTTTAAAAAAAGAATTTCTGAAAAAATCAGTTTTTTCCATTTTCCCGTGGGATTTTTCGGTTTCTGTTCTTTTATTGAGAGTAGAAAAATTCGTTTAACAAAATTCATGTATGTTTGGTTAAAACTTGTCACATTTACTTTTTTCCGTAAAGAAGATAAGAAACTGAAAAAATTCGCGGGAAAATAAAAGAAAACCAGTTTCTTTTTCTCTATCTCTCTCTTTATCTATCTCTCCTTATTATTGTTATTTTTTAACTTAATTCTTTTTAATTCTCTGTAAGACTAAAATCTATTTTTCTCCTCTTCTTCGTTAATGTTTTAATTCTTTTTTATCAAACAAACTAATGAATTGTCAGAATTCATATAATGATTTGGCTGCCGACATACGTGAAACAAACCACGACAATCAATCAGTATCACGGAAAAGCGACAACAATGATTTCGATAATTTCGAGTATCGATTTGACACGCCTTTCTTGGTCCTAGTTTACATGGGTCACGCGTACTAAATAGTAATTTTTTAACGGATTACCTCAATCTCGACAATGTATGTAAACGACGGTGTATTAAGGTGGTATAATGTAGATTACGTATCAATTTAATGTATCGTTGTTTATATGCGTCAAACAATACGCGTATAAACAATAAGAGAGGGATCTATGTGCCGCGTCCAACCAATCGATTTTCATCTGATTTATAAATAACGACGGATGTATTCGCAGTATTTATATTTTTTCCTCGAAACTTGGACCGTTCAGATTCGTACCCATCTCGCGATAGAATATGCTGCGCTCGTTGCGAAATCACGCGGGGCCTTTCCACGGAAGCGCGATCGAATGAAAGTTAGGTAGGAGTGGAGTTCGTGAATTTACGGCACGAGGAAGGGTTTGGGGCACACGACCGAATATAAAATATGCAGTATCCTCCTTCCGGACTGCGCTCGCGCGCCAGCAGAATCGGAGCGATGTGGTGTATGCCGGCTGGTTCTCGCGATCCGGTATAAGTAAATTGTGCGAAAGAAAGATCAGCGTTCGGCACGTTGTCGGGAACACCTCCCGGGGTGAGCCAGCGTGTCCTCGTACTTGTTTCTCATTATTGTGCGAGATGTAGAGCATAATTCCGCTTTGGGTCAACTGACCGCGGGCAAACTGGCCCGGGGGAATAAATGCCCCTTCACGACGGCATCTTTCTCGTTTTATCGTTAATCCTTCGAGGTGGAATGAATTTTCGCTCTCCCCTTAACTAATTTGCGGAAACGGACGTGTAGCTCCAAGCGATTTCTTCACTCGTTTGTCCCGACGAGATTTTAACGATGATGATCCTTAGATGATCAACGCGACGTGGCAATAACCTTACATGTTGTTTACATATTTATGAGTCATTTACATAAATATTGATTTAAATTCACCGGGGATTTTAAATAATTTTCCAAGGAACGGGAATCATCTATCGTCCGTTAATTTCTCACAGTTGCGGCTGAGTTTAGTGAAATCGTCGAGAGGGGGGACAGAAGGAAAGAAATAATCAGCTAATTATGCGATGTTTGCTCTTCGAGACAAACTTAGGCGCGCGCTAGGACGAACGTCTCGGCTACGAAGGCGATAGAGTGGCGGAGTTCCGCGATGAACCCAAGAGAGAATCGGCCAGCGGCGTGGAGGGTGGGTTAAGAGGGGCGATGGCGCAAGGATGGAGACTGCCGAGACGGAAGGAGGCGAGAGCGAGAGGAGGTGGGTCGCGAGAGCAGGACAGGGAGAGCGGAAAGGACGAGGTGTCCGCGGGGGCGGATGAAAGGACGCTTACCAGCTACTACCTATTGATCGCCAATTCTTTTTCTCTTGTTGCATATTAGGCGCACTCTTCCTTCTCCCTCTCTCTCTCACCCCCGTCGCGCCTCGCAACCTGCCCCCTCGCGGGCGTAGAACGCGCGAATCCGCCCCTATAACCACCCTCCCGCGCTCACCCCTCTTCCTTCTCCTGCATCTCCTCTACCTCCTCTCTGCTCGTGTCGCCTCACCGCGTGAGAGAGTGCAAGCCGCCCCACCAGCCACCCACCCTACACCGCCGGCTCTTCTTACCGGCAATGTTTCATTTCGAGCAGTACCCTTCCTGTTTCGAGCCGGCGGGATTTTGCACGCAGGTGCGTGTAGATAGGATAAGAAAGTCATCGAGAACTTCTCTTTCGTATGTATATATATATATATATATACAAATAGATGTACTCGGCGAGCGATAACGTGCCATATATTATCTCCAAGACGGGTAATCTCGTGAATTCTCAGACTGACCGATCGCCTCTTCCTGTTTCAGGTGACAGTCCCCTCGACCGGCGGGCGAATTCGGCGAAGAAAAAAGGAGAGACTGCACTCTCGTAGCGCTCAGGGCGCAAGCGTGCACGTGTGTTGTGCGTTTCTGTGCCGCTACCTGGGAGGAGTAGCGTGGTCGTCGTCCCTCCGCGGCTTCATCCCTACCTCGCCGCCGTTGCCGACACCATCCCTCCGACGCTCGTGTGTAGGAGCGCCGCGCGGCGAAACGACGACGACTACGTTGACTTCGCTACGTCACGCGTGACGTTGCACCCGGCAGCGTGTACACGCTCTTCCGCCCCACACGCACGCTCACGAGGCGCGCTGAAAGACACGCCGGAGGAGAAGGAGGGGAACAACAACGTGGTGGGAGCGACGAGGGGTGGAAAGAGGCGAAACTAGGACCGTAGGGGAGGAGGGCGACAACGGCGAGACGACGACGACGACGGAGGAGCGCCGACGGTGGAGGGGGTGGACATCCACGCGGGAACACGAGGCAGGCGCACCCGGCCGGCACGCGCACACACATCCTAAGATGTGATTTCAAAAATGGCGGATTGCCCCTATGCCCGCTGCATACAGGAACGCAGACACATCCGACGGGAACTGCTGCGATGGACAAAGAATATGGTCTTCGTAGTCGGTGAGTGAAGAGTCGTACGTATTTGCGAATTTGTTGAATCGCGAGCGCAGGTTGTGAGAGAGGCGTGTCACCGGCGTGCTTGTTGCGTTTGAGGATGTGTGTTTGTATGTACGTTTGCCTACGTTCCGCATGGTGAGTTTCCGTGTGTGTCGAGAGAGAGAGAGAGGTTCTCTGTCAGTGTGGAGGTCGAGCGAGAGAAAGTGGGAGAGAGAAAGAGAAAACACGCTGGTGGTTGAGACCTGTTGCGAACCGAAACGCCGAATCCTGGCTGACTATATGCCAGGCGTGACTCCTACTCGCGCCTGTACGTTCAACAGGGTGGCACCACGTTGCCGGAAAATCCGATAATATTCCGTTAGTAGTTTCCCGATGCGGTTTTCAGTTTTTGCTGCGTGCCGGTAGATGATGACTTCCATGTCATACCTCAAATATGATGTTACGCAATACGTGTTACGCAATCAAACAACGCGCGTTGTGTATCGCTACGTGATTCGAATAATTCGAATAATCGCGTAGAAGGCGAGAGTCAACCACGGTTCGGTGTCTGATTAACGACGCAGCTTCCTATAATCGCAAGGTGGATGATTCCGAGAGAAAACTTTGGCGAATAAGTAATTATGAAGTCTCTTGTTCCGATGCTCGGTCTATGTAAGGATTAGAGCTTACATTCCGAGGACGACGCGGTCTCCCTCATCGCGGACTTGGCAGTGGAAAAAAAAAAGAATTCGGCCGAAAACAGAAATAAAACGTCGCCCTAAATGGACCCGCGAGATTTCCTAAAAGAACAACAGAGAGAAGAATTAGGCGTGCAATTTCCCGTGCAGGTTGGCGACGAAATCAGGCTGTGAGCGACCCTATCACCCTTCCACGTCGACGGCGCTTACCCCTCGGCGTCAGAGAATACTGCACAAGCTGCGTGCCTTGACCACAGACAACCGAGCGATCCCGGCCGCCGCCCGAAACCTTCTTTTCTTCTTCTTACGGCCTTCCGTCCACCTCATCTCTCTCTCTCTCTCTGCCACCCTCTCCTTCCCGCCCCTCCGTCGCCGTTGCGACCCCTCCTCCACGTCGGCGGCGTATTCCTCCCCGACTTCCCCTTCTTCGGCTTTCGGTTAGTTCGTCAAGGGGCGAGCTCCGGTACTCGCGGAAGGCGCACGTTTCCGCACGCGTCGGTGTTGCGTGCACTCGCCGTTACGCTTCTTCCTCCACTTTTGTGACCTCGCGGTCCCCTTCTCTCTCACTCGCTCTCCGCCGCCACCTCTCGCTCCTCATTTCGGAACGCAGCTGCCGCTGGTGGTCGAGACATTTTCGCGAATCCTTCTCTCTCACCCTCCTTCGCGACCTACCACCTCCTCCTTCTTTCTCCACCGTATCTCATCTCCGCTGCGGAAAGCTCCTAAAAAGGGAGCCGACGGAGGAAGGCGAGAAGGGGAGGGTCGACACGAGTTGCGTGTGTGTTCCTCTGCCTCTCCTCTCGCACGATCTTGGAGGATCGACCAGTGCGCGTTCGAGAAGGGGTGACGGAGGGTGGAACCGAAATCTCGGCGGTACGTTTCTGCGAGTGCACGCATCATCAGCGGCGATCCGACGACGCGTCGCGAGGAGAGAGAGATAGGTGTCGGTTCAGTGAGTGAGTTTTAAAGCCGAGTTGGAAAACTGTTGCTCCGCGATTCGGGCTAGTTACACCTGTTACACCGCGCTTCCAAGTTTCGGGAAAGAGAGCGGTAATCACGACGCGGCGAGAGAGGGCATGGAATTGGACGTAATGAAGCCTCTGTCAGCCCCGCGTCGCGCCCCGTTTCGTGGAGCCGTGGAGGAGCCGAGAGCTGACGACGGGATGTCGCGAACTCGCGAGGGCACCGCGAACCACGAGTGTTGTCGTCTGTAACGATGTCGTTTGGACATTACTGCGCCGTCACCAGTACGCCGTACGCGAAGACGTGGATCGACGTGGTATAGGTAAAAGCACATTATCCTCTTTCGACGGCGTGGCGCACGTGCGTCTCTCCATCTTCTTTCGTACTTCGCGCGGAAAGAGTTCCATCGGCCGGATTAATCAGCGCGATTTTCAGAAAAGCGAAGGCATCTATCCTTTTCATTCATACGCGGGCATGCGCTCCGATGATACTTCATTGGGGGGATTGTAACCACGCGCGCGAAAATTTATTAATAGTTCCCGCCGAATGTATAAGGGCCGATACCTTTCTTCTTACGAGAGATCTCTCTGAACCCGCCGCGCGAGTTTCCGATTAGCTCGATTACTTCCCGTATCGTGCCGGGCGAACATTACGAACGAAAACCGGACGTGAAGGCGATATTTCTCGTCCCATTGTTCAGCCGTTTCCCGAAAGCCAAGGAAAGACGGGATGGGCGCAGTTACTGCTGATCGTTAAAAGGCGCATAAAAAAGGGAGAGGAGAAGGCGCTGGGTGGGCGGGGGAGGTCGGAGGAAGCGGCGCGAGAAGTAACAATAAAAATTCGTCGGCGTTCGTGTTTCGTCGCCGTGGTAGCAGAGGGGNGGGGGTTAAAGGGGGGGAGAGGGGGGGGGGGTGCGTAATGAAACGATATTGAGTAGCCGTGGTAGGGAGGGTCGAGAGGGTGGGGGTCGTCTTCAGCCCTCTCCGTCGATTGACCTCGCTTCGACGAGGCGAGACGGTGGGGGCGAGTCAGGGGCGGACGTTGGTAGGGTACCGTCACGGTGGGGACCGCGTGGGAGGAAGGGGGCCCGTTAAATTGACGAAAATGACACGGCACCTTCTCTCGGTCTCCCCTTTTTTTCCCCTATTTCGGCGAGCGATGCGACGACGGCGCCTGGGAAGAACTTCAAAGCGACATTAGCAGGGGGTGGGCGGGAGAGATGGGTGGAAAGAAATCGCGGTAAATTGTCGAACCGGTATGTGTGAGGACGTCATCCTACAGTAGCGAAAAAGGGATCGCTGTAATTAAACTTCTGTCACATAATTAAATATAAATTATATTTCGGAGCTAAGATAAATATGCCGAGATACTGCATGTCTGTACAGAATTGTCTCTGAAAAATTGAAGCTCGAGTGGAGCTATGTTATTGGATGAAATAACACCGTTCAGCTCGACGAGGGCAAAATATTTTCGCGTATATTTAGCAATGTCCCTTTTTCGCCTTCGCTCTCTCGCAAATTTCCCTCGTCATGTAAATTGCAAACGAATGTAGAACAAAGTAATCAGATGAGCATAATGTAAAACCGACCTTCGAAAGTCTCTTTGCAAGATCGAAAATTAATACATCACGATAACGCGCGGACACTCGAAATGTTTTAGAGCTCTGTTCCGATTTAAGCGCTGCTTTTTCCATACACACAGCAATGTCATACTCACGTCTGCACGTATATTAAACTTGCCGCACTCATCGCGGCAATTAAATCGTTCCGCTTTGAAATTCCGCGCTTGCACAATCGATTGCCTCAGCATGAGCGAAAGAAAAGTTTCTCAATGGTCGTGCATCGACGTGCGAAACGCCGTTTTAAATAATGATAATCGTCCGACCGCGTGCAGCGAATGTTTCGAAAGTGGAAAATGGGTCAACGTCCGATACAATCGGATAACAGGGTATTAAGCGATTATATAGACTCCGAGGATAATTAGTGCGGCCGACTGGCTCGTTAACGAACAACGCGTTCGCGCTAGTAGTCACGGCGAAATGGCAAAGCGGGCGCGAATAAAGTACAGATAAACCGGCTGTCCTCTAATGAAGCGAACGTCCGAAGGATGCCTTCCCCCCGTCTGTCCCTTTCGTCTGAACTTGTGATTACCGATTAAAACGGCGCATCGCGATAAGCCGGTTGCGAGCGTGTCGATTTACTTGACATTCACAGCCGGTCTACCGCGTGTGGAATGAGTGAGAGAGACGACGTTTCAACTCCAGTTCATAAATCAGTTACTTCTTCGTTTCGCCTCGCGTCCGAATGCGCCATCAGGAAGCCCGCAATACGATAAAGCAATTTACAACTGTGTTCTTCGGCCAAGTTTCTCCCGTCGCGCCGAAAGCTAGATACGCTAATTTCGCCGTAATTAACGCTCCGGCCTTTAGATTATTTATGAGATTAATAATTTCCAGCGAGAATTTGCGTTATCGCCGGTGTGTCGTTTAATCGTCACCTTTCCATCACCATCGTCGTCGTCTCTCTCTCTCTCTCTCTCTCTCTCTCTCTGTGTTTGCGCTATTTATTAATAAAGTTACCATTGGGCGAATTTCGATACCGCTGTTCGAGTCAACAGTGATAAAGCTAAGCGGACCGCGAGGTATCGGACGATAATGGCGATTTTTACTCGTCCTCGAGTGTTTGTTAAGATCTCGAGAATTCCTACACGTGTCGCGTATTTTCAGGCGGCGATATTAAAAGATCGCTGCTTCCTGCCCTAACGTTAGTATCGATCAAATCAGTCCCGCTATCGCTGAAAAAGTTATCGGAGCCGGTAAGAGGCAGAAAAGAGACGAAGCGGGGGACTGATCGGAAGGTTTTTACAAACTGAATTTTTACAATTTCACGGAGTACCGTTAAATCTCCCCTTCGTCCTCTCCGCCTCATTTCACACCTGTCGTATGATGATGATGATAATAATAATAGGATAAAATGATTAGAGCTCAGCCGAACGGCGAGAGCTTCCCGCGCGCTCGTTGGTGTCGCAGGAGAACGTCGCGAATCCGCGGAGCCCGTTAGAATATCGCACGCGGATCGAGTTGAAAACGCGGCAGGCTAATCCGATGACGGATGGTGATCCGTCCAATTTTAATCGTGCGACGCCCCGCAAAATTTCGTCCTGCGCTTTATCACGAAATGCTGATAATCAACCGTTCCGCGTGTATGCGCGTCGAAAAAGCGCGAGACCGGCACCGCGTTCTCTCCCTCGTCTGTACCGGCGATGCGTCTCTACTCTAACTGTTGCATTCCGGTTGCATGCGAAGCAACGCTCCCTCTCTTTCTGACCAGCGCGTCTTTATCTTCTGTCTTGGCTCGTCGGTCG